GATACGCTCGGTATATGGTACTTACGAATAAAAGACATGGGTAGGAGCGATGCAAACATCACCGGGCACGGTCAAACACACCAAATCAGAAGATATGCAGATCGGTCTACTCCCTAATGCATCGGTGGATGAAACACTTGAGCGGACTCGATTGAACACATTCGCTTCGCTGTTAAAGGACGGCGGAACCAAGTTTCAGGTGCTGGAGGATATGCAGCGTCAGCGCTGGGAGAAAGTTGTCTGGAATGCGGCTTGGAACCCTCTTACTACTTTGACCTTGCTCGATACGCAGTCTTGGCTCCATTCCAGTAAGGATGCGACGCCCTTAACACGCCGCTTGATGCGGGAGGTTATCGATGTTGGTCGTAGGTGCGGTGTGTCATTGGATTATGGGCTTGTTGATGAGTTGATGGGCAAGATTAACTCTTTGCCGGGTATTGGGAGTAGTATGCAGACGGATTATAAGAATGGGAGGCCCATGGAGGTGGATGTTATCTTGGGGTTTCCGGCTAAGAAGGCGAAGGAGTTTGGTATGGAGACACCAGTTTTAGATACGATTCATGCGCTGGTACGCGCTGTGGACGGCCGTGTGAGGGCTTCTTTGTAGATGATTAGATTACATGTCGGTTTCTCTATGCTGGTCTTACTGAGAGTGTGACTTGGACATCTTACATATAGCAGACCGAAATTATCAAGAAATATATAGTGAGGCACTTGATTACTTTTTTTGGGAGATGTTAGGTGCAACAATTCCATCATACAACTACACCCAGACGCGTTTGATATGTCTATTAGTTCATGATTTTACCCATGCTAAGGTAGGGTAGGACTTGGGCATCAGCTCTCCATAAGACCACCAAACGCACACCGAGTCAGCTTAGCTACGTTGCAGCCCAACAGATCAGAGAAGCATGATTAAGCTACCAGCTCGCTAAAACCAAACCCCCACGCACTCCCCACGGAATATAGCAGGCCAGGGTCTAGGAAAGGACAGCCCAATATGTTAGCTTAAAGGCTTCTCCACGGTCACAATGCGGAGAACAAGCCCACTTCCCCAGATTCCACCATCTGAGGCACCCCCACGTACTTGGCTCAACGATGGGGACTAAACGTCACTGCCGGCAGATCAGCGCCTACTAGCACTATAGAGCTTGTTAGTAGCAGGTAGAGAAGGATAAAGCCCAATGTCCCTCATACACACTTGACCTCCGTGGAGGCAACGGAATCGGCCACCATAGAGCATAGCAATGAGTGCAGAACAGCCAACCCCAGCTCCTACTCAACCAGCTGGCCATGGGAACAAACCCTCGGCGATGCACGTCGAGGCAATCCCTGGAAAGCCTGGTAAAATTCAGAATGGTGACACTGCCTTGGCTCTCTTTGAGAATTTCGATGAATTGCACGAAGATATCGACCCAGGGGAGCTAAAGCGGCTTGTTCGCAAGATTGATTTTATGATTCTGCCCTTTCTGGCTGTTTGCTATGCCTTTTACTATGTGAGTCGTTCCATCATCCGGTTGTGCAAGTTTCTGACGGTGTTAGATTGATAAAACTACTCTTTCATACGCGGCCATTTTTGGCATTAATGAAGACCTGGGTTTGTCGGGAGAGCAATATTCGTGGTTATCGAGTGTGTTCTACTTCGGGTTTCTGGTAAGATATGCTATTACCCTGACTATCCTGTGTTAAACGCCCATGACGAGCTTAGCTACGAGAAGCCCCCTCACACCGGCATATCCTGAGAATATCCAAGATATACAGGCTAACACCATATCATAATAGGTCTGGGCCCTTCCAACCAACTTCTTGATGCAGAAGTTCCCCGTGGGCAAGTATCTAGGTGCCAACATCTTCCTCTGGGGCTTCTTCCTCATGCTTCAAGGTATATTACGGCTCTTAATACAATGATACGTACTTCCTACTAACATCCATTTACAGCGGCCGCAAAGAATTTCGTCCAACTCGCCGTGCTCCGCGTAATCTCCGGTGCAGCAGAAGCATGCAGGTATCTACCATTCCAACCTCAAGCCCTGCCTAGGAACTAAATGCTAACAGCCCAGTGACCCTGCTTTCATGCTCATCACAAGCATGTGGTACACCCGCCGTCAACAACCCATCCGAATCGGACTCTGGTATACCGCCAACGGCTTCGGTATCGCCATCGGCGGTCTCCTTGGCTACGGCATCGGACACATAAAAGGTGCCCTCTCCTCTTGGAAATACGAGTTCCTGATCATTGGAGCCCTATGCTCTCTCTGGGGTATCCTGATAGTCATCTTCCTGCCCGACTCGCCGGTGACAACGCGGTACCTATCGCCCCGCGAGAAACGCCTCGCTGTAGAACGGCTGCGAGAGAACCAGACCGGTGTCGAGAATAAGACTCCCAAGCCTGCGCAAATATATGAGGCTTTCCTGGACTGGAAGGTCTGGGTGTTTCTCCTCCTGGGATTATCGGGTAATATCCCCAATGGGGGTATCTCGAATTTCGGGACGCTGATTTTGAAGGGATTTGGGTTTTCTACTTGTATGTTCGGCAATCTCTTCAATCCACCTTTTACCTGGTTAAATATTGATACTGATATTGATACTGATATTGATACTGATTACTGATTACTTGGAAAAATGGCAGTGGTAACAACCCTCATGCAAATCCCCTACGGAGCCTTCATAGCCCTCATGATCCTTTTCAGCATCTGGCTGAATGACCGCCTCCCCCAGAACAACCGCTGTTACGTGACGATCCTATTCCTCCTCCCTAACCTCGCCGGCTCCTTTGGGCTCTGCTACCTCCCCGAATCAAACAAAGTCGGTCGGCTCATTTGCTACTACTTAACGGGGTCCTATAACGCATCTTTCGTGCTCATCCTCTCCATCCTCACGGCCAATATCGCCGGCCACACGAAGAAAGTCGTCACGAACGCGATGATCTTCATCGGTGTTTGTGCGGGGAACATCGCCGGCCCGTTCTTCTATAAAGAGACACAGGCGCCGCGGTATCCGCTAGGCATATGGTCCATGATTGTGTCTCATTTTGTGGAGATCTTGCTGGTGATTGTGTTGCGGATGGCGCTGGCTTGGGAAAATCGGAGACGGGATCGGTTGCAGGGGATTGGGCCTAGTGGGGAGGGCGAGGAAGCGAGGCAGTGGGAGATGGATCGGACGGCATTTAGTGATTTGACGGATAAGGAGAATTTGAACTTTAGATATGTTTACTAGATTAGGGGCATTTTTTTGGTTGTTTCTTGGTGTGGTTATTTTCGGGTTGTTTTTGGTTTTATCCGTTTTACTGTACTGAGTGACTTTTTTTTAGGGCTGAGTGAGAATGGAGATGTGTCGGACTTGTTTCCGATGGCTATTGGGGGTTTTCCGGATAGACTTGTAACAAAGCTGTTATTGAATCGGCCAATCTGGGTTCGTCATTTGTCAATGGTGTGTATTGAGGGGAACCTTGAGCTTCCCCGTATTTTCTCCACGAATAGAGCTCCATATCTACGACGTGGGATGTCAGGGCATGATCATAGCTCCTCACCCTCCGGACTTTGTAACGACCCCCACGCGGGGAAGTATGCAATATGTACACTGTCTATCCGATTGTATATATAGCTCTACATAAATGAAGATACAATAGTCGTAATCATCAATCTGTCTCACCAGGAAACCAGAAATGGCCAAAATCAAGTCAATTGAGTACTTCCGCGTTAAGCCTCGATGGCTTTTCGTCAAGGCCACCGACGAAGAGGGCCGATTTGGCTGGGGTGAGGGTACTTTAGAAGGCCATACACAAGCAGTGGAGGGAGCTTTGGATGAGCTCATTGCGAGGCTAGTAGGTTATGAAGCTGAGTATGTCCCATCTTACGTTCAATATTTTGGGTTCGTCCTCAGTAGAAAGTACTAATCAATGACAGTGATATTGAACATATCTGGCAAACGGCCTGGCGACTGGGTTTCTACCGCGGTGGTCCTGTGTTTATGTCTGCACTTTCCGGAATTGATATTGCGCTCTGGGATTTGAAGGGCCGTGTGCTTGGTGTACCAGTTTATCAACTGCTGGGAGGGAAAGTGAGGCAGAAAGTACAGGTCTATGCGTGGATTGGAGGTGACCGGCCCAGTGATGTGGAAGTCGCAGCGTATGTACTATGTTTCCATCCGTGCAGATACCGATATATATTGAGCTTGTGATAGGAAAGCGCGCATCGCCCAAGGACTCAAGTGCGTCAAGATGAACGCAACGGAAGATGTCAACTGGCTAGATTCACCCTCAGCCGTGGACTCTTGTGTTGAGCGACTAAAGCAGGTCAAGGCATTGGGCCTCGACGCAGGACTAGATTTCCACGGCCGACTACACAAGCCTATGGCCAAACAGCTGGCGAAAGCATTGGAGCCATATCGACCACTGTTCATTGAGGAACCACTGCTTTGCGAACACCCAGAAGCGCTCAAGCAACTCTCCGATCTGACAACGATTCCTATTGCATTTGGAGAGCGGTTGTATACGCGGTGGGATGCGAAGAGGTTTTTGGAAGACGCTTCTGTGGATGTCTTGCAGCCGGATATTGCTCATGCCGGTGGTATCTCAGAGACGAAGCGGATTGCTACCATGGCTGAGACTTACGATGTGGCGATTGCACCACATTGTCCGTTAGGGCCCATCGCGCTGGCGGCGTCTATTCAGGTTGCTTTGTCTACGCCCAATTTTGTTATCCAGGAAATGTCATTGGGGATGCATTATAATGTGGAAGCGGGGGATATTGACTTGAACAGTTATCTAGTGGATAAGTCGGTCTTTGATATCAATGAGGGATATGTGAAAGCACCATCTGGTGTTGGGTTAGGGATTGAGATCGATGAGGCCATGGTCAGGAGAATCAGTGCTGAGACGGAACCATGGCCTCCAAAGGAGTTTTACGGACCAGACGGTGGCATTCGAGAGTGGTGATCTGGTTGTATGTAGCTTGGTAGTATTGTGTTGATAACCTAATGTCTTTCACGCGTAATGTCTATAGGGCTGATTGTTTATCACCATACTAGACAAGTTCCACGCGGACGATGCGGGGGCGTGGGGGTTCACATAACTAAAACTGGTAATATTCGAGGGGAAACCTGGCGTAAGAATGATAAGCAGCTATAAGTAGTCGGCCTGCCACGCCCAACTTCGCTGGGACGTTCGTGGTCGGCTACTGGGCGTCCTGCATCATTCACCATAATGGATATCTTTTCCCTCACGGGGAGAACCGCCCTTGTAACGGGTGGAACTCGAGGAATTGGACAGCAGATGGCTATTGCTATGGCTGAAGCTGGCGCGGATATCATTCTGGTTCAGGTAAATAGATACTTGCTACCAGCAAAGCAACAACAGGTCCAGAGATCTGACTCTTATGGTATGCAGAGAAACACTAGCAATCAAGACACGAGGCAAAAGATCGAGGACCTAGGGCGTAAGGCAATGATTTACACAGCCGATCTAGCTTCTCGGGAGTCTGTCTCTACATTAGTGTCGGATGTCTTGAATGATGGGCATGATATCGACATCCTTCTCAACTGCGCGGGAATACAACGGCGACACCCGAGTCATATTTTTCCAGATAATGACTGGGACGAGGTATTATACTCTCCTGTAACCGAAGGGTGATATGCATACCAACTTTAACGTTGGCAGGTCCTCCAAGTCAATCTTTCCACCATTTTCACCCTCTGCCGGGATATCGGCGCCTATATGCTCACCCGGACCCCGGATTCCTCCGGTCACCGCGGGAATATCATTAACATCGCCTCTCTCGTTTCATTCCAAGGTGGATTGACCGTGCCGGCTTATGCAGCTGCAAAAGGTGGCGTGGCACAATTGACCAAGGCGTTATCGAATGAATGGGCCGCCAAAGGAATCAACGTGAACGCGATCGCCCCCGGTTATGTAGCTACGGACATGAACACGGCATTGTTGCAGGACCCGGAGCGGTCGGCAAGTATCCTTGCGAGAATCCCCGCGGGACGATGGGCAACCCCGGAGGATTTCAAGGGAGTGACGATATTCTTGGCAAGTCGAGCGAGTGGATATGTCTCTGGTGAGATTTTGACGGTCGACGGCGGGTGGATGGGGAGGTGATGAGGGTGTGTATTGTATGTACATACATTGGAGCTGACAATACATAGTGGAATGTTAATCGAAGAGGAATTCCAGGTTGAAATGTAATGGGCTCAATTTGGGAGAGTAATTGGTTGTCGGAGGTGTTTCACTTCGAGCTAATCCCCAACCATTGTATAATGGTCATCTATATAGCTTGTTGGTACCATGGTAATGTCGTCTCTTAGTGCTGATTAGTCCGGTATACTTCGCACGCCGAACTTTAGTCAATGAATCATGAGGTACGGGGCTGGTACTGACTCTCGGCCAGAAGAACATTGTAATGACTGGTCACTAAAGAGTATCTATTAGTTACTTGTGGTACTCCATACTACATGTACTACAAAGGTACCTGCCCAGAATTCACGCTCTCGTGTTTTCTTCATGGATTCGATATTGCGTGCTGCATTGATCTGTATGATGACGTATGAGTACGTACAAGGATCGGCAAGTGATGGAGGGAAATTCATGGAATATGTATAGAAGATATCATGCTGTTCTCATAGCAGCAGACTGGTCCAATCGGTCCCCCATGAGGTCGAAGGAGATTCTGAGGAAGAAAAAGGATCCAATGAAGGCGATGAGAGTGGAAAGATGAGGAATGATGACTGGATTCAATGGGAAAATCTACGATCCACCCCAATGCGGTCTAGACTCCCGGATCCGTAACGCGTAACGGTATTACCCAAATCCATTCATTCCTTCTCTCTTTCTTTTCCCTTCCCTTCAAGAAGAGCCTCTCCTTTTCTTGAGCCTTTTTCCTTCTGGAACCAAATTTCTTTTTCTTTCCTTCTCTTCATTCATCTAGACTTTTTCTGAGTGAGAAAGAGATTAGAGACTTTGAATTTTAAACCCTCACCGTCACGCGTCTCTCCCCTCATCAGCTTAATTTCGTCCATCCCCTTCCTTGATATTTTTTACTACTGCACAGTTTGATCCAAACCCTCGGGTGTAACGAACTTCTCACCTCCACCAATTGCCTGGCGCGCTCCCCGCGCTGTCGGGGGATACTGACACCTAGGCTCTCGACGCAAGCAAGCGCTCTTTGATTACTCTTACTTTATTTTCTTTTTCCTTACTTGTCCACCCGGCGAGTTTCTCCGCAAGGCCAACGTGATTGCAACGATCTACCCTCGGCAGCAGCTGCTCGTCGCCCCATTCGTGTGGTGTGCACACACACACACCCTTGCCCTTACCGCCATGCCGACCTCTAACACTTCGTCCCCCGTCAAGCGCCCCGGTCTGGGTCGTCGCGCAGTCTCCTCACACGCCGTCGTCACGCGATCGACATCCACCCAAAACGAACTGGCCAACTCCAACACCGCCCACCAACAGTCCTCCAAACTCTCTCACCGGCAACATCGTGCCCATATCGTCGGCGGCGGTCATCGCAACCACCATCGTAATCCGTCTTTTGGCAAAAATCTGAATAAACAGCTACAAAGGCATCTTTCTCACACTCAAATCGACTCGGAAAAACCCGTTCGCCATCATCAGCGCAAGAAGTCCGCTCCTGCGACTCCCGCTGCTGTTACGCCCGCCACAAGTCCGCGTGGGACGCACCACGTCCGTTGGGATGGAGCCTTGGACGATAGTCACCAGACCACCACTTCGATGAAAAAGAACAACTCGAGCCCTGCTCTTCGCCGAAACAGCAGCAGCGTCATAGGAAAAGTAGGGAAAAAGGCCCTGGTCACCGATCGCCCGCATACCAGTTCAGGCAAGAAGAAAACTGTGGGCTTCGAATTGGCCGATTCCGACGACAACGACGACGGAGACTGGGAGGACACTACTCAGTCACCAGAGAGCACTAGGCGCAGCTCCGTCGCTCAATCTAAGGACAGTGTGGAGAATACGACGGTATTGGTGGATCCGTTGACATTCGTTAAGCGCTCTTATCCACAGTTCCCTCGGTCGACCAGCCTTCCCGAGTCGAGCCTGAATAATTTTGGTCACAACAACCCTTCGCCGGACGGGGACAGTGAAGACGAACCCGACGAAGATAGTGATACAACACAACAACAACCGCCAAAGACCGAAGAGCCGGAAGAAGGTAGCCGCGCTACTGACCACGGTGATATTGCATCTCGCCTGCTGAGTCCCGCACACGCCGCTAAAGCACCACCCGCCATGTCCTCCATATCGGCCACAGCGAAACCAGCCACTGTCGATTCACTGTCGCGCAATGCTTCTCTGACCAATATAGCTTCCGGTCATGATGGGCTACGCCGACCACCACTCTCCTCATCCCAAAATGCACTGGCTAATACCCCAGGTAATCTGACGCAAGCCACATCATCTTCGATCGAAGGAGGCGTGTCGAGGTTCATCAAGACTGGTTTCCATGCAACTTCTCGCACTGATTCGGACCCCAACACTCCGTCCTCTTTCTTGCCCCATTATCACCCCCAAACACCCCCCTCTCCTGGTCGCGGAGCAAGCTCGAAGAGAGCACGAGCATCCCCTCCCACCCGGCCGCCTGGCGCAGAGCCGCACTCCCGCACCCAGCAGAAGCTGTGGTTGCAGCGCACTGCCGCTCTGAACACCTCCCCTCCTGATGGCCATGGCGTCGCAGCGACCGCATCCCCGTCGGCGATGGACCCGACTTTCATAGCCGGAGCGCACGCCCGACCAGGAGCCGGATTTGATGCAGGAAGAGGGCTTGTCAATGGGGCGTCGCGGGCCGGCCCTGTGTATGACAATGAAGCAAAGCACGTGCGCAAGGCATATGAGAAAACCGCTTTGGAGCTTACAGTGGTCCGACGGTTCCAGTCACCGACCGGGGATAGTTTCCGTCGTTTGGCGTACCTTGTCAATGATACGAAATTAGGTTCCGGCCACCACCAACGACATTCGTCCCTTGGCAAACCAATTAAGTCGGCGCCTGCCTTGACATTGCTCCAAAATGGCAAGCAGCAGTCTCCCAGTCAGGGCAGTGCAAATCCGGAGCCGAAACAACTAATCAGCCGGAAGCGCTCGGATCTAAAACCTTCCGCCTCCCAAACATATCTTCAGGAACCCGCCGATCTCGCAAATGAACCTGCAGATTCCTCACAACGACCTAAATCCCAACATCCTTCTCACCGCGTTCTCTCTACGTCCGATGAAGCTGCCCATCCGACTCCCGCCGGGGAAGAGTACCCCGAAGAGCCATCTTTTATGGCCAGCGAAGCTGAGATGATGATTCGTCGTATGTGGGAAAGTCGCGAGGTGGCCACCGCCGGCTGATGGGCAACCACTACAATTACAGCCCTACTTATGTCCTAATGTCTTCGCTATTGACTCAAGTTTTTCAACATTGCTTGTTCACTATTTCCCACGGTTTTCATCATGGCTCAGGCATATATGGCGTTCACGGTGCATTATGTATAGCGTACCATCTCATTTCGGGAACCAATCTTGTGCATGCACGTTATCTTAATGGACGTCTTGCGTTCTGATTGCCTCCGTTGCTTTTCTTCCTCTGTTACTTATCATTCCCCGGGCATAGATATCTTCGGTTAATATTGTAATGTATCTACTATCTACATTCGAGCGTGCCCGCGAATTGTTATCTAGGCAGGCAAATTTATGATCCTCAATGTTTCTTCCGGATTCAATATCTTTCCATCTAGAATAGAATAATTGTATTCCCGATTCCTTGTCTGTATATGTCATAAGATATGAATACACAACATACAAATTACAATAAGTGCACAGCCCGCCGTCTATAGTAACAAAGAATCTTGAAGGGAAAAAGAGAAAAGAAAATCATGAGGTAAACAAGAACGAGTTGTACATATGACAACATTGGAACAGAAACAAAAGAATAGAAGATGGAGAATAATAATAAGAATAGAAAGACATCAAGTATTCCTATCCCGATCTTTACCTCGCCCACGACCACCACCTCTGCCACCACGACGGGCATTGTTCCCACCAGCAGCAGCGTCAACATGTACAGTCCGCTGCTGACGGGGCGTCGAAGCCGAGTTCTTCTGTCCAGATTGGTCAGGCCCATGGTTCCGAGGTAATTGTTGAAAAGGAGCTGGTGCAGAGGTATTCCCGCTGCCTTTACCTCCACCGCCACGTCTCTTGCGTTGTTGGCCTTGTCCCTGGCCTCCCTTGCCACGGCCGCCGCGACCAGATCGACCATCTCTTTCGTTTTCTTTTTGGTCCACGGGCGGCAGGCCTTGGATGCGTCTGCTTTCTTTGTCCCACCATTCTTGGAATTCTTGTTCTGCTTGGATGTCTTGCAGGTTGTGTTTGGCTGTTGCTGCTTCGCGGATTTCGTCTTTTTCTGTTTGCTGTTGCATGAGGATTGTGGCCAGGGAGAGTGAGTTGGGGGAGGGGGAGGTGAAGCTGGTTTGGTATGGTTCTGGACGGGGGATGTGGCGGACTGATTGGATCGCGGGTCGAGGTTGGGATTGTGGGGTTACTGGAGGGTTGGGGGATGGCGCTGTTGATGGACCTGAGACGGAAGGTTTGGAGGGAGTCTGTGGGTTTGTGGTAGAGGCTTTGCGATTTTGGATTTGTACGGGTGGTGTTCCTGGTTTTGATGGTGGTGGTGTCCCGGCGACGGTTTGACGGAGGGTCATGGAGGGCGCCTTCGGGGTTGATTTGACGGAATCGAGGGAATGGTTGTCTTGTCCGTTGGTGGCTCCTAATGGTATCGGTTTGGAGGGTGTAGCCATCTTCCATGGGTTTTGCGGTGGTTCTTTGGCTTTCTTCTGAGCGGCAAGCATCTCTTGCATTTGTTGTTGCTGGATCTTCTTGCGCTCCTTTTGGGATAGCTTTGGAGTAAAGTTGTTGCTGTTGTTGCTATTGCCGCTTTCTCGAGGGGCAGAAGTCATACCCAGGCTAAGATTCGACACGCGGTTTTCTGAGGCTTCGTCCATGATGTCTTTTAGGTTTTTCTTGGAGCCTGAAACCACTGATGCACTCCATGGTTTCTGAGAGGCGTCTGGTGGGGTAAGAGAACCGTTCCTTTCCCCGTTCAGCGCATTGGCTCGTAGTTCACTTGGAGACTCTGCCAGTATAGCATCTTGTGGGGAGGCCATTTGGTCATCCAAGTAACTTCGGCCTTCCAATGATCCTCCCTCTGTTAGACTAGATCCCAAAGCTGGTGAGTCGGGGTATGATCGACTGTCATTGGTATCATTTGATTTGACCCCACGGGCTGCCGCCTTTCCTTTGTTAAACTCTCCCGGTATAAGCAGATTCTCGTCATCCATCTGGAACATCAGGTCACCGATTGAATGCTTGGGCCTCAATGATGGGCTACGTGACGTAGCAGCTGAAGCCCCCTTAGTAGGGGTCTGTTGCGCTTTTTGTCCCGGAGGCGCCGAAGGCGTGAGTGTCGCTCGAAGCTTTCCCTCATTCGCCTCAATTTGATTGATATGTGACCGAAGCCTCATGGAATCAATCCTCCTCCGCCGGTCTCTTTCTACCAATGATACAAGCTCGGGGTACTTTTCAAAGACATAGTCTTCGGAGTTGCGGCCTCGTGATACAGGGAAGCTCGAAAGCTGATTTTCGTGGCAAACAGAATCGAGCGCACCCAACAAGAATTCATCGAGATCCCCCAAAAATCTACCAACGTGTGAGTAGCCAGTAATACTTCCGTTATGTGCCGACACCTACCTGTTTGAAAGTAGATCTTCCAAATTCAAGCAAATGTACTCCAACGCAGCATCTTTGAACTCCCTCACACAACAAGGTGCAATGGCGTTGAGGAGATGACACACATTACGTGTGTTTACTAGCTTTTATTAGCCACTCGGACAGTACACATATAAGAAGGGACTGTAAATCAACATACCGAACCTGCCAAGCATCTTCTGGCAGATTTGACCCAACCGGTCAATCATCAGCTCATTTGCCACAAATGCAACATCAAGCACTAGGTCGATGAATTCTTCCAGGTCATTTGTTCGAACTTGGTCGAAAAGTTGCTCCTCCGTGTCTGCATACATATACCGAAGCACAAACTCAAAGACATGCCGATCAATGTGCTTTAGATCCACGTGTATGTCGTCAGTTGGATCTATACGGCGGGAGGAAAGCCATTTGCCACCTGATCGGCCACGGAACAAGGCGTCGAAAAACGGACATCTTTGGCAAATGACTTGGCTGTGGGCCCTCATAGCGTCGTTTCTCAACTCAATGACTACATCACCGCTATCGAAGAACGTCATATCATTGATCGCACGTTCCATATCTGACTTCAGAGCCTTTGTAGGCTCAATCATTAGCCTGGCAGATCTCTCCAGACTAGGAAGGCCCAGGAACGTGGCAATACGCATCACTTCAGAACGGACCTGACGATATCTAGATGCACTTTCTGGCGTATGCTTGACTAGCTGCCACACTTCGAAAACATTGTCTGTGTAAGAGTAGAAAGCAAGGTTCAAAACGGTCAAGAAGTCGACGTCTTGGAGTTGAAGCTGTGCATATCCTTCACCGTCGTAGTTGATCGTAAGCACGTCGGGGATGGTGAACGATTGTGCGTGCCGTAGGTCATGGAACGCCTTTCTCAGAACCGGGCTACGCCCTGTCAGGATGAACTCGTGCACCGGTATCCGTATGTCAGAGGTTGTGGTCATGACCCATACTGTTCCGGGGAAACGTCCGGTCTGCAGCGGTCCGAAATAAGACTCGACGTCGGACTCTGACATGATGGCCTTTTTTATATTAATGACGGGCTCTGAGTCCAACACGCCTTCTTGATCCGTGGCAACAGAGCCTAATACAGAGCTGAAAGGTGAGAGTGGTAACATATCCTTCCACAAAGTGCTTTGGTCGACGATAATTTGCTCCCTGGTCACATCACAGTTCTGTTGTACAGCTGCGAAAGCTCCAAAGGCGTTGCTACATACACTCACAACTCGAGAAAGTCCAGGTACGCGGGCAAACTTGTGGTCCTTCGATGAACTATCCTTCGCTTTCCCGCGCTTTTCTTTCCTCCAGGCCGATCCAGAAGCCGTGCAAATGATGATAGAGCCATCTTGTCCAACATCGACGTCTCTGACAGCCATGTGTGCCTTCTTCACGGACCACACTCGAGACGGTGTTGACAAAGAATTCCGTATTTTAGTTGGATTTGTGGTAGAAGTCGAGCTCGGTGGGTTCTCTGTTCTGTTGACTTGTACTGTAAAGATTTCACCAGAACTAGACAACGCACATATAGTATTTCCACCGGACGTTACTTTTATGATACGATTGACAGAAGTGTCGTACCGGGTAGACATGAAGCTGTTTCTGATGAAACTCGAGCTGATATCCAATGGGAAAGATAGTCTCGAATAGCCGTACTGCGAAAATACCCAAACCTCATGGTTCTGGAGAAGAATGGCCGTGGCTTGGTCAATCGCGGACACGCTCTGGATTGGTGCACTAAAAAGAGACGCTCCGACACGCCGAGGAGTCGTTTGGGTTTCAAGAGATCGGGCATCCGAGTCGACAAGTCCAAGCTGACCTTCATTCTTGCCAAAAGTATACAGGCCAAAGTTGCTGAAAACGACTGAGTGTATCGCTGATGCTGCAGCTCCAAGAATGGTTTCCTTCTTGAACGGGTTGAATATCTGTCGTGGGGTCTTTTGCATAGGCACATCATCTCGGTTGTTGGTTCTTGGAAGACCATAACCCAATTGACCAAACTTGTTGCTTCCCCAGCTGAATATCTCGCCGTTCTCTGTTATTGCAAGAGTGTGATCCTGGCCAAGGGCAACAGAAATAACCTTCTTGTTGGCCAACCCTCCGGTCTCAATGCAGACAAAGCTGAACCTTGTTGACTCATCGCCAGTACCTAAGCGCCCTCCGGGGCCGAAGCCGCACAAGAACAGGTTTGACTCTGGATCGTTGGTGAGAATGGCTGTGTGCAGCTTGGACATGGCAATGTTCTGGATTTTAATAGGTTTGTTCTTGATCAACGCTGGCAAATCTGCAACTCCGCGCACCTGTTGGAGATCTGGACTGCCCTCATCCAACTGCTGTTCTTGAAAATCGGAAAAGAACCGTTGCAAGAGGTGATCTGGACGTCGGAAAGTTATTCTCTCGGGATATTGGCGGTCGTCCTGGTCCCCTACACCAAGATTCAGGTTCTTATTGCTCCCGAACGTAAATACTTCGTCACCTAGTACATTTGTTCTCGGTTTTAACGCTCGCTTCGTAAAATAGCCATCTTCATCGAAGTCGTCGGGCTGCGAGGACGCAATGGAGGCCGTGTCCGCATTGTCAAGATCGGCGAGCTTTGAATCATTCGCCATCGACGAGACAATACTCTTGATATCACGAGACGCAATTGTAGCTCCATATACATCAAAGGGGCTGTATCCTTCTCGGTCTTTAATTTTTATCAAGGTACCACTCGTGTTGGTTGTATTCCCTGATTTACTAAAATCCGTCGCATCGCGCACATCACGAGCCAGTAACGCCTGAGCAATAGCGGCATTGCCCGCATACAAAGCTCGATGCAGCGCCGTCCATCCACTCTCCCAATCTTGTGCATATATGTCAATGAAAGGCACCTCTAGTAAAGCAACAGCAAAGTCGGTCGCAGTAGGTTTCGTCGATGAAGCCACCAGGTGGAGTAGCGTTCTGCCAAGTTGATCACG